CACACACACACACACACACACACAAATACACACACACTCTTTCACCCACTCACACTCACGCGAATAATCATCGAATGGACGTTCTTTGTGAGAAAAAAAGAAAACTGTGGTGAAAACGTTGACCTTCAGGCCGAGTAATGCCATGACCCAGAACCTGTGATAAGGTTAATGATGACGAGTGTGAGGAGGGTGGGGGTGGGGAGGCAATTTAAAAAAACTTTAACTCTTAAAGTACGAAGCGTATACACAATAAAGTAATTATGTTCGACCAGCAGCAGACAAAAGGCAATGGATGTTGAGGCTCATTTCGAATCGTTATTCACACGTCAGAAACACAAATTTGCATAATATTTCATAGCATGTGAGATGTCATCTGCTTTACAATTTCGAATCATCATACACAGGTTTATCTGCTGTCATAATTTCCATTCCTCAGACACGAGTCTATTTGCTTTCATAATTTCAAATCATCATGTGCAAATTTACCTGCGTTTAAAATTTCCAATCATCGTTCGTAAATTTATCTGCGTTTATAATTTCCAATCATTATTCGAGTAGACAAGTCTATCGGCGTTTATAATTTCAAATCGTTTATAATTTCCAATCATCATGCTCAAATCAGAAACACAAATCTGTATATTTTATTTCATAATTGCTTGTTCTTGTCTGCTTTAGTAAGTTTTAAATAAAACAAACAACAACAACACAAAAACAGTTGAAAATGCTTTATGAATAACCAAGGTTGGGTAATGATTCTTTTTCAATGCTCCTCACAATAGCGTGGCATTTACTACTTTAAAGGGGGGTGGGGGTAGAATGGCCAGAATGCGAGTTTATAAAGAGTTAATGCGGACGAGTGCGAGACGGTTGGGGTCACGAACTAAGAAATGTTAACTTTTTATAGACGTATTGGACACATAAAAATTACGGCCCAGCACGTATAGCTCTGAAATGTCGGGGACTGACAATTATATGTGACCGACACATCCATTGTTTGGATTAAACGATAACGAAAAATTAAAAAGATATCAGTAGGGGATGACGAATTGTACGAATTTCCTTAATTTCGAGTTGTCCGTGTTCGAGTTATCTGTGCCCGGCTGTGTGTCCAATAAGCAGCAGACCAAAGGCAATGTTGAGAAACATTTCAAACCATTATTGAACCATACACAAGTCAGAAACACAGATTTATTATATATCTCATAGAACGCGTGCTGTTGTCTGCTTTTACATTACTTTCTTTTACTTTTTCTGTCCTCTTACACCACAAGATGTCGAAGGGAGATGCAATTATTGTAGGACGTGGGCCGCGTGTGTTGCTGTTTAGATCGTTGTGTTGTTCCTTTGGAGGATCTCTTTGACTCTGTCGATCCATCTTTTTCTTGGTTTTTCCTTTTACCTTGAAGCCATCGAATCATTATTATTATGTTGTAGGCTTTGAGGGTTGGCTGTTGTGGCCCTGTTATCATTACATGTCCAAACGACCGTGATAAACTGACGACAAGATAAACTTGTGTATGATTATTTTATATCATAAAAGCAAATAAATGTGAGAATGATGATTCAAAATTGTAAAAGCAGATAGACTCGTGTATGAGGAATGGAAATTATGAAAGCAGATAAACCTGTGTATGATGATTCGAAATTTAAAAGCATCTTATGATGTATTTCATGCTCCATTCGACACCCATAATTTAGTGTCTGATGTCTTCGTTTCTTTATCTTCCGTTATCTGATTTTTGATTAATGTTAAGTCAAACCAAAAAAAAAAAGTTTAAAAAAATAAAACAACAGCAAAATTGAAAATGCAGTAAGGATTACCAAGTTAATATATGACTTTTTTTGTTAAATCTCCCCCAAAACAACACACCTTCAAGGGTTGTAGAATAACCAGAATGCGCGGTCTCAATGAGTTAATGAAGACGAGTGCGAGACGGTCGGGGTCACGAGCCAGGAAACGTTGAATAATTGACGAGGAATCATGACTTGGCGGAGGAATCACGCCCCAAAGAGATCTCTTTAATCAAGGCGTAACCACCCTATAGGCTAGGCGCAACTAAACAAATGAGGCCGTTACACCGATCCCAAGATTTTGAAAATAAATGATCTGAGAAGTTTTATAACGATCCCGAAATGAGGTGATTTGATAAATTCCTTAACGATCACGAAATGACAAGTAATTTTATAACAATTTCAAAACAAAATTATTTGGTTGGTTTTATCATGAGAGTCGACATATTTTAAAAATCTTAAGACCCCATAATGAAATTATTTGACAAATGCTATGTAACGAACGATCCAAAAATGAAATTATTAGACAAATTCTTTAACGAACAATCCCAGAATGAAATTATTACCTTAAACAAAATTTGTAAAGACGATCCCAAAATAAAACTGTTCGATAAGTTTTGTTTTTCAACGAAAAGACTCCCCCCCCCCCTTGCCCCCACCAACATATCTTAACTATCCATACAAATTTTACAATTGTGAATTGTTTAACCGAAACTTTAAAAAGCAGGCAACAACATGCACACTATGAAACATTGTCAATTGGTTTGGAGTTGTTTTTTCCTTCCAATTTGCATGTGGTGGCCGAATTGAGCAGAAATATTGCTTTTGGTATGCTGCATGCTGCTCACACATGTCACATGTCTGCGACGTCATTAAAGAGTTAGAGAAATTATTTGAGGGCTCTCGTGGCCTAGAGGTTAAGGTGTTGGCCTCTTATTCAAAGGTCCCGGGTTCGAATCCGGGTAGCGACCGAAACATTTTCTTCTCTAAAATTGTCTCCTTTCACCTCCTTTCCTGCTCTCTAGCAATGTTCTGTTGTCTGCTTTCATTTCCACTTTCTGCCCCCCACCCCCTCACCCACGCCTTTGCCTCCTCCTCTTGGCTCCTGACTCTTTCTGCATCCTTTCTACTGTTACTCCTTGGCTCCTCCTTACTGCTGTCTTTCTGCAACACCCCTGATCTTCTGGTAGGAAAGATCTACACCTAGCCTTCTCGGACAAGGGCGAAAAATCTCAGAGGGCCCGTGTGCAAGTTGCGCACGCTAAAGATCCATTGGTGGTCTAAAATCGATAAGAGTAGGCTTCGGCTGCCACCCGGGCAAAATTCAAAATTTCCTACCAACTGAAAATATTAGGAGTGTCCCGCGCGCTCACATGACCTTATGCAGTTGCAAGCGCCGTAAAACACTTTACAAAAACAAAAAACAACAGAAATTATTTCAGTAATTGAAGCCTGGTTTTCCAAAACTCAGGAAATCAAGTTTGACAAGCGTCTGATTTCACCACAATACCTCACACGTTTATAATGTATACATGACCCATTTATGTATTATTATGTGCACATGATTTGTTGTTTTTTAGTAATAATTTTGATTTTAATAATGCTAGAGTCCAGGATACGAAACTTTTGGCTGTGAGCAGTGGATATGGCTGTTTCAGACTATGTATGTGTGTGGCATCGTGGTGAAACCATGCGCTTGTCAAAATTGACTTACTGAGTTTTGGAAAACCGCTCTTCAATTTTGGAAACTTCGGCTTTCAGACTGTGGCTCACCGGCATCTCTTGTGCAGTAGGTTAGGTCTTCACCTTGCACTCAGCGGTCAGAGTTCAACTACCAAACCAGAAAAAAAGTCATATCCTGTTTCTTCGTCTGTCTTAGTCTTAGGCTGAAAATATTAATATACTACCTCGCACAACTGAAGCAAAGATAGTGAATAACAAGATGGGCCACTCAGCCAAAAAAGTGTCCGCAGGAAGTATGCTCTTTGCTTCAGATGGCGCTGCAGTCTGTTTTGAAGCTCTCTTTCGTTTTTCCAGAAGAAGAATAGGAATAGCACCTCCTTGCGTGCGCAGATCGACTGCTGTTCATCAGCAGTTCGGGTACGTTCAGTGCGGAGTTTTAGTTTTTTTTAAATTTTAATGACCTCTCGCCTTTCATTCTAAAGTCAAATTAAACGAAGAAAACCATCACCCTTTCCTCCGGAAGAGGTTTTTTGCCTGCGTAACCATTTTTTAAAAGCGTTCTTCCGAAGTTTATCCCAAAACTTGCTAGTTTCACTTTGATTTTTTAAAACTCAAGTAGGGTAACTCTGTTCGCAAAGAGTGCGCTTTTGTGAAGAGGGCGCCACCAAATTTTGAGGACACTTTTTTAATTGGCTCAAAGAGAGAAGTGGCCCATCTTGTTATGTACTATCTTTGACTGAAGTGCGCCGCGAAGAAAGTCGTGCCATCCTCTTTATTTCCTGTCTGTGACTTCACTGACACGGCTAGACGTGAGGAGTCGTGAGGACCCCAAAAGACGTGCGTGAGTGCAGCACTTCTTTTTCGTATGCGGAGAGGCTCGCCCTGCTATCGGAGTGTTGTGGGACGCCGTGGAGATCAAAATAATATACGCCTGCTCAGCGCCACTTTTTTATTCACTCGGACGGAGTCGGGCTAACCTATGGGATCGCCACTTCCAAACTTGCTGCTCTTCCGTTTCGCGGGGCACATCAGTTGTGCGTGGCAGTACATTTTCAGCCTAAGAGAGGATGTATCCAACTCGGCTCGGTTTGGCCCTGATAGACTGGCTTGATACAGCCTGCCTCCTGAATAATCTAATTTATGTCAGCAGGGACGTGCTTGTGGTTGGAGGGAGCCACTGTAAGTCCTACTCCTTTACTTTTCGTCTGTCTGTCTGTCTGTTTGTTTGTCTGTCTGTCTGCCTTTTTATCCGTCTGTCTATCTGTCCGTCTGTCTGTCTATCCGTCTGTCTGTCTGTCTGTCTTTTTATCTGTCTGTATATCTGCCTGTCTGTCTGTCTGTTTGTCTGTCTTTTCCCCAGCATTAAATAACTATTATTCAATCATATAATATTGAGTCAATGTGCTTCTCTTTACGCATACAAAGATGTACGTAAAACGTTTCCAACCAACAAGCAACTACGAGTATACTAAATACTATCTCTTGCTCTAGGAAACATTGTTTCCTCATTGTAAAAGTGCGCTCGTCTCCGAAGCGGAAAGTCCGGGTTCGAGCCTCGGTTCAGACACGGATTTTTCCGCCCCCTCCTGCCCACCCAGCACTAACGGGTACCTGACTTCGTGTTGGGGAAGTAAAGGCGGCGTGGAAAGAAACTGGCCACCCTACCACAATATGCCGGAGGCCCAGGAAGTTGTCTCACTAATCAGGCAATCCCCAATGTCCGGATCGGATGCGGGAACAACTTTACTTTTTACTTTACATGACGTAGATTTTTCAGTTAAATTTTCCATATCTGAAACCGAAAAAGACAGAGGTAACATGCATAATATTATAATGAAATATAATACAAGTATATGCAAAGACATATTATTATTATTATGAAATATAATACATGTATATACAAAGACCTATTTCTGATTTGTGCATCATGTTTCGAAACGTGCCGATTACCGATTATAATATGTGAGGCGTGCTGACAAAATGAGTTACTTCTCGCAATCCACAAAATGGAGATATTGGCTAAAAATCGACACAGGGGTCAAATTTGTAGAACTTTTACTAATGCCATATTTTAGATCTATAACATGCCTTTTATTATTCCATACTAATAAATTATAAAAACTTCACGTGTAAGCGTGATAGGTCTATTTCTTTTTTTTAAAGTCTTGAATCCCAGAAGTAACTCCTTTTGTCAGCACGCTTCACATATTGTCTTTGGGTTGCTGAAAATTGGACACAGTATGTGACCGCTGTGTCTTTTTTTTTTTTTTTTTTTTTAGTTAATCCTCACCCGGCCAGTCAGTGCATGACAGATCTTGTGCGTGTGGTTTTCTTTTGTCGGATTTAGAATTACGGCTACGTATAAACTCTAAGCTGGCTTATCATTGTACCAGCAACAAGCCACAGAAGTAGAAATGAGGGATAACGGCTGCAAAGTTGTCGATTAGTTAAGTCGAAAGCCTAGTGGTTACAGGCTACCGGACTCGTAATCGTGAGGTTGCAGGTTCGGGGGTTCGAGCCGCGGGCCCCACGTTGTGTCCTTTGGAAAGTCACTTTACATGAATTTTCCTCTCTCCATCCAGGTGGGAATGGGTACCCGGCCTTAGATAGCGAAAGATCTTGTCAGTATGTTAGTGTTTCAGTGCCTATAAATGGCATCTTGCACTGTATGCTTCCAACGAAGTTGAGGTTGTTTCAGAATGCTCTCAGGTATTCTTGGGTAATAGTATAGATTGTGAAGCGCATAGAGCTTGCTGTTGAGCGGGGATTTGCGCTATACAAATGCTATCTATTATTATTATTATTATTATAGGTAAAATAGCTGATCGAAAGAGACGCTTCACTTTAATGGTTGTTTTGAGTTTTCGAGAACATTGATGCTTATTCTTTGGCGTGAGCGATTTTGCAGTGTTCAATTATAATCATCTCTTTTATGTGAGATCAGGCCCAGTAGCAGTCTAATGGTTTTTAATTAAGCACGTTTGTGTATGGGTTTGTGCAGGTTTTATTTTGCTTGTTTTTAGCTAATAAAACAAGATTCCTGTACAACAAAGAATCGATCGCCTGTTCTCACAAAACCGAGTTGTTATCATGCAGGAAGAATGAGTGGTGTAGCAATTAGGCTCTTTGCTTTCGCACGCAGAAGACAGGAGCTCAATTTCTTTGTGGGTATATGATTGGTTGGGGGGTTAAGTGCCTTTGTCGTTTTGTTTGGACATTGTTTTGCCTGAAGGTTGTATCCCTCTCAGATCGGAGTCAGCCTTGAAAAGTAAGTTCGAAATAGTTCACCCCAAAATGATCTAAACAGTATCGATGGAGTTTTAAATGTCTTCAGTTACGTTTATATTTTATTATTGATGGAATGAAAATACTGGAGCATTGTCGGGTTCGATTTCTAAGCCCTAGTGTGTTGGCTAGAATCGATGACAAAACGCACATAACTACGATTCGAAACGAAAAGAGCCTTCATTACACCTAATAACAATAATGATCGCGTGTTTTGTGCACCCATCTCTACAGCATGCATTGTGCTCTTCATAATACCCAGCGGACCTTCTGTGCGTGGGTGGTTGGCGGGTACTCTAGCATGATTTGCTCCTTCTTTCCTAGTATCCAACATCTGTTATCCTTATCTCCCCTCCTTCTTTTCTGTTGTGTTTGTTACTCTCTTGTAACACCTCTAATCTTCGGCACTTATAATTGGTTGTTTTTAAGCACAGGGGGGCTATCTCGAAAAATGCTGTTTTGAGAAAATCTTAAGTAAAGTTTCTGTCCCTCGTTCAGTCTCTATAAAAGACAAGGAGAGTTTTCTCTATATCCAAACAAATATTAAACACACCAATGAAACCAAACCTCTCCTATAGGTAGGACAATGACCACTTTTGACGTCGGTCAAGATTTCTGGAAACCCCCGAAATCTGGGTTAGCCCGCTTGTCCTTAAAAGCGACCAATTATGACCTATTGTGATGCAAGTGCCGTAAAACTCTTTCTAAAACAAACAATTTGTGTGAACCTTCTGTCCTTGCTCTGACTCTGTGGACTAGCAGAGCCCCCATTGAACCGGGGATCAGTGTGTACGGGAGCGGTGGGACGGCTGGTCAGCTCAGGTCGAGCTAGAGGAGCAAAACAGCTGATCAATAGGGTCGATTGTGTTAATCTCGGGGTATCCGCCTCAGGGAGGATGATATTAAAGTTTCGTTTCGTTCCAATGCCGCTGCGCTGTGCTGTGTTGTGCTGCAAGTTGTGTGAGAGAGAGAGATAACGTGTATACCACGACTGCACAAATCGAAGCCTAGTACAACTTCGGCGATATTTTGTACTGGTGGTATGTTATTTTCTCCCTCGTTTGCAATGCTATTTTAACTGCTTAGTGCGTAAATGATTTGTTCTTGTGGTTCTCCTTTTGATCGATTTAGATAACTATTTGAAGGTGTGTTGGATTAGTATGCATATTATGATTTCATTACATGATTGATTTCTCAGTATGTCATGTTTTAAGTCGATTTAGTCAGTGTTAAGTTAGTCGTTATTTGAGTCTTTAGGTGTTAAAGAGTTCCTTTTTGTTTTGTTCTTGTTTTTGTTATTGTAGTCTCTGCCTCTCTGTCTCATTGATTGCTCACCTTGTTTCACTTTAACTCCTTCACTTTGCTTAACTCAATGAGGACGCGCTGTTTTTGGGGTACTGATAAAATATGCTTCACCTTGTTTTACATTCCAATCTTTCAATTTTGTTTTCATTGTCTAAAACTTTAAAAGGAAGGCATCAACATTTATACTATAAAATGCGTATAATATTTGTGTTAAATTTGTGCAGCTAAATTTGTGTATGAAGGTTCAAAATGTGTCGTAACATTACCGTTTCGGACATATTAAAGGTGTCCTTAACGTCGTTAAGAGTTAACCATCCCAATGCATCGGCAGCATGTATAATATTACTAGCTGAGCCCCCTTTCGATGAAAGGAATGATTGGTGCTTTAACATCAACTGAAAGTCATTGGTCTACTACATTTACACTCTACTGGAATTGAGCTATACATCTTGAGAGAAAAGTGACACGTTTTCCAAGTTGGCAAATAGATAAAAGATGTATAGATTGATTCTCTATTCCGCTTTCGTGGTTGTACACTCCAGAATTTCAAAGCATTAACATCTCGAGTTCTTGTGCACAGTGGAATTGTAATTGTAAATGGGCTGATTCATCAATGTCATCCTCATAACTGTGCCTGAACTGCAACATGGAACTGCTGCTTTTTCTTTCCTAATCCTTACTATCGTTATTTTCTCTCTACTTCTTTTGTATGTTTGTCATACTCTTGTGACCCGCTATTTCTGGGGTGCCTTGATAGTCGAAGAAGACTTTGTGCTGTTGAAGCTATAGAGGTGAGCAAAGTAAGTCTGATTCCCTCTAAGGACTTCTCTGTTGACATCCACCCCTTGGCGCTCATAATATGACCTTATGCAGTTGCAAGTGCCGTAAAACTCTTATTAAAACTAAAACATTGGTAATGACGCTTTTCAAAGGATTGGTTTCGAAGCATTCTCAAAAATATAATGACCTTTGTCCACTGAGGCGCAGTTCACATTTTTTTAAATGTCTTATTACGCACAAGAACAAAGCTTCGCCAGAAATCAAAACGGAGGCCGAGGTGTGATAAACTACCTTCAAATCTTTGAGCCACTATGTGCTGGTAGTGGTAACAGTATTTTATTCTTGCTCCCCCTGGTTGAGAATAACAATACGCCCCCCCCCCCCCCGGGGGGCGGTGCCACTGACTGAAGTGTCTTTAGGCCATTCCCAAAGGGGTGGAGGGGGTCATTTTTCGTCCATGCACAGTAGAATTGTAAATGGGCTGATTCATCAATGTCATGCTCATAACAGTGCCTGATCTACAACAAGGAACTGCTGCTTTTTCTTTACTAATCCTTACTATCGTCATCTTCCTCTACTTCTTTTGTATGTTTGTCACACTCTTGTGACCCGCTATTTCCGGGGTGCCTTGATAGTCGAAGCAAACTTTGTGCTGTTGAAGCTAGAGAGGTGAGCAGAGTAAGTTTGATTCCCTGTAAGGATTTCTCTGTTGACATCCATCCTTTGGCGCTCAAATGACCTTATGCAGTTGCGAGCGCCGTAGAACCTCTACTAAGAGACTAAGAGAGAATAATAATAATATTGATACAATCGTTCTAAGCTATCGGCGTAGTTTCTGCGAGGGAGTTTGCGTGTCTACATGTCATACACCGCTCCAGCGTGAGTGCTTGGCGCTGGGAAATGTTTTATTCAACGAACTCACCCTGTCTCGAGTGTACCGTAAATTACACATCGAACTCGAACTCACGGCCTGGCCTGTCCTCTGCACTGGGTGTCTCCCTCGAGTGTACCTTACATTATACAACAGGTTTGCTGTAATATTTTATTTTATCGCCAAGGCTAAGGGACACGGAGGCTACTGCTACGTATCAGGGAGTGGCTGTGATGAGCTGTGATGTGCTGCTTTATCTGTTGTAAGCTATGGTAGTTTTTTGGTTTAATTTCATTTTTGTTTTGTTTAATTTTTGTTTGAGTTTTGTTCTTCCTTTTCGTTGTTCTTGCGGCTTTTTGTGATCTGTCTATATTTCTTTTCTTTCTTTCTTTCTTTCTGTCTGTCTTTCTTTCTTTTTTTTTTTTTGTTGGGATCGCGGGAGGAAGGGGGTGGGAAAAGCAAAAATAAAACAAATTGTTTAAAAATCAAAATCGTATTGTTAAGTTGAAAAATATATCTACGTTTTCTCCTTTGTTTTGTCAAAAACAGATTTATTCTGTACATATGCATACAATGAGTGTTCTTTCACACATCAGCATTCCGTCAGGCATGGGTGGACGTGTCCATGTCACGGGCCGGATTAAGGCGTTCCATAATCTCGCTGGCCAAAGCAGGTGGAAATGGGGTGGGGGGGGGGGGATTTTGGTTGAAATACCCAAAACTCTCAAAAGTAAGATTTTTTAAAAAGAGATAGAGACTCTGGAATATTATGTCACTCAAGGGCATTTCAGAAGATAACAATATAGACTATCTATTTCTTCAAGATGGGCTGAAAACTGTTGATTTTAATTTTGTTGATTTTAATTTTCAAGACGAACAGTTGTTGGGTTTTTTTTGGTTTTGTGTGTGTGTGTATGTGTGTGTGTGTGTGTGTGTACGTGCATGTGTGTGTGTGTGTGTGTGTGTGTGTGTGTGTGTGTGTGTGTGTGTGTGTAGTATTCTTTCCCATTAATTGTCAATTCACCGCGACGGGACTCATTCATTATCAATCACTGCACTGGGAGGACTTGTGTGCAGGCCTGAAAGTGATTGCAGTGGGTGGTTGGCGGATGCTCTGATATGGTTTGCTTCTTCTTTCCTATCAAACATCTATCGTCCTTATCTCCCCCTTTTCTTTTTTATGTTTGTTCCTCTCTTGTAACACTTCTAATCTTCTGGCGCTCATATTTATGACCGTATGCAGTTGCGAGCGCCATAAAACCTCGACTAAAACTAAAACTAAAAAGTGATCGCAGGCTGGATCTGGCCCACAGGCCGTTATTTGCCGCAAGGTTTAGCCTTACTATAGCGATAAAGCAAACAAAATATGGTAATGCTAAACCTTCTGTCATCATCACCATCATCACCGATGTACTAAACTATCAAGATTACATACAATAACTTGGATGATACAGGTCCATACGATATTATGTTTCAGAAAGTAATAGCAATTTTCAAATCGTTCAGCGTTTAGGGCTTGGGGGTTCATCCAGAGTAACAAAAGCCTTAACCCTATCCATACGCCCTGGGGTCATTTTGTACCCCCAGGGTTGTATTCTTCACCTTTTAGAATACCTCTAGTACGAAGATCTCTTTGAAACTTTCAGTGTTTCTCAACAAATCATTTTGACAGACTGCTATGCAAAGTGGATTAACGAGTAAATTTTATCTTTGGAAAGTGGTGGCACAGAGTTCCCCACATTGTATGGATACGATGGTAAAACACGACGTACAGATAGGGTTAAGTGGCGGCACAGAGTTCCGTTCCCCACGTTGTATGGATACGATAGTAAAACACGACCTACGGATAGGGTTTTAATTAATGTAATGGCAGCGGCTACTCAATTTTGTTTCCACTATCTTTATCGTTTTGGTTCTTTGTTTTATTACCATAGCTTTCTTTCCTTTTCATTTCTTTCACATACTCATCATACATCAACTGTGGAAGGTGTCAGTGGTAGGTCGTACTTCTTTACTTCCCCCCTGGTGCTTTTTTCTGTCTATCTTACTTTTTCCACAGCACCAAATGGCCATTATTATGCCGATGTGCTTCTCTTGACTCAAACTCATACACCAACTTCTGTGTATTTCAGGAAACAAGCAAGCTGTTTAAGCTTTGGATTTACGTAAAGGCCTAGAACAATTAATTATTCAGCTGTTGACAAGTGGAGGAAAGACTTGACTTAGTTATTTATCTTGTGATTGGTGGAGAAAAGGCTAAGTTTAATTATTTATCTTGTGATTGGTTGAGAAAAGGCCCCGCATAATTATTTAGTCAGTAACAAGAGGAGAAAAGGCTCAGTTTGATTATTCATCTTGTGATTGGCAGAGAAAAGACTCGGCATAATTAAACATTAAGCTTGTGGCAAGCGGGGCTACTCCAACATCACCAACATGATTCCATACCGCAAGGCGTTGTCCTCTCTCCTTCCCTGCTTGTGTGTCGCCAACATTTTTCTGTTCATATTCCTTGTGGCAAAAACAGCGGTAAATGACCACACTCGGAATTCTGAGACTTTTCTCAGAGAAAGAGCACGTATAATGAGTCAGCTCTACAGAGCAAATCATAGCGGTGAAGGGGGTGGACAACAGAACATTGGTCTGCAACAGATCAAGAAAGGTTCTGGTGGACTACATCAGTCTTTTCTGAAAGATGACAATAACGAAAATTTGATCATAATTGATCCCTATAGGTTACCATACAAAATGAGGTCTTTAAAGGAGCTTGAGAATCGAGTCGTTCCTAATATCGTATTTTACGTTTGGTGTGGTAATCGAACATTCGAGTACAGGCATTTTTTGGGTGTGCTGTCAGTGTGGTATCAAATGGAGCCAGATATAATCGAGTTCAGATACGAGATGGATCCAATTGAAGACAAGTACAACAACTGGTTCACAATGCTGAGGTAAGTTTACCTACTTACTTACCTACCTATTTACCTGCCTGCCTGACCGCCTTCCTTCCTACCTACCTACCAACCTACTTACCTACCTACCTGTTTACCTACCTACCGCTATATCTACCTATCTACATATCTATTTATTTACCTACCTACCTACCTACCTACTTATCTACCTACCTACCTACCTACCAAACAACCTAGCTACTTACCTAATTACCTAATCTATTAACCTGCCTGCCTGCCTACATACCTACTTACCTAGCCTATTAAACTATGATATTATAATATGACTGCTGTCTTACAGCAAAACAATGTATTGGAACACAAGTTGTGTAATGTTGAAAAACATGGACGGATAAACAGTGTATTGGGATCAGAGAAAATATGGACGAATAGGTAATGTATCGGGATACAAATTGTAATGTTTGAAGACATTTGCAGATAAACGATGTTATGGGATGCAAGACGTGGTTATACCCCCTCCCCCCCCCCCCCCTCCTAAACAAAAATAAATATATAAATAAATAAATAAATAAATAAATAAATAGATAAATAAATAAATAAATAAATAAATAAATAAATAAAAACGCGGATGAACAAATGAGGACAAGCGGGCTAACCCAGATTTCGGAGGTTTCCAGAAATCTTGACCTACACCAAAAGTGAGCATTGCCCTACCTGTAGGAGAAGTTGGGTTTAATTGGGGTGTAGATCTATATTTATTTGGTTATAGAGAAAACTCTCCTTGTCTTTGAAAAACTGAACAGGGCTCCGAAAACAGCATTTTTCGGGATAGCCCCCTTGTGCTTCAAAGCAACCAAAATAAAAGATTCCGTGAGTTCTTTATTTCCTTGTCTCCACAGAACACACATCGCTGCTTTCAACGCTCGGCGCCTTCCGCCATTTGTCAAGGGCGATAAATGTGGGTCAGTTCACGGTCTGGACACGGTCTGGGACAGAGGCGGTGTCTACATGGACGAGAACACCCTCCTTTGGGGCGATGACGTCAGCACTTTGCTCTCAAGGTCACCTTCGGTTGGATTCTTCCAGAACACCAGCACCGTCGCTTTCGCGGCGAGTGTAGCGAGAAATGGAGACCTACGAGTTTTTCAGAGATCTATCAAGACAGCAGGGAGGAATTTTCTGAGAAATTATAACGAGGGAGCAACTCAAAAGCCTTCTTCTGCTAGCAACATCTTAAACTTTCTGAATTGCTCGGCGTTTCAAGCGGGCGAACGAAGCACGGTTGTTTCTAACGGCTCCTTCTGCTTCAGTCTCCCGAACCGTTTAACGCCGTGGGGCATTCTCCACAATTCTAAAGACCCTATGTGTGAGAGTATTGCCCAGCAGTTGATGTTGAGCAACCGCGATACTTTGTCCCCGAATACGACGTTGGAAATCCCTCGCATCGTGCATTACGTCTGGTTCGGAAAAGCAGAATTCACTTTTGGAATGTACTTAAGCTTTTTAAGCACCGTTCACGTGGTCAATCCGACTACGATATTCATCCACTGGAACTACGGTCTCTATGGCCCGTACTGGGATCTCGTAAAAGAGTACCCTGTCGTTCGGCTTGTCTACCGAGATCCTCCACGCTATATTTTCGACCACCTCCTCCACTACAGACAACACCTCAGCGACATAGTAAGGGCGGACGTTCTAGACAAATACGGAGGAATCTACCTAGACTGGGACGCCTTCTGGCTTCGATCACCGGTCGAGTTGTTAAAGAAGACCAGCTATGACGTCATATTATCTCGTGACCACATGCCAAGAAGCCACTTCCCGGACACCATCAACATGGGGGTTGTCATGGCAAAGCCGAGGTCAAAGTTCATCCGGCGTTGGCGAGCGGCTTTGGTCAACTACAAGTCGTCCGATTTCTTCTACAACGCTATAGAGTTGCCTTACAAAGTCTACGAATCTTTTCCCGAAGGCGTCCTTATCGAGGACAGGCTACAGGTATGCTGGGGAGGGAACTACCAGTCGATTTGTTTGTTTGATTGTTTTCTTATGTGCTTGTTTGTTTGGGGTTTTTTGTTTGCTTATTTGTTTATTTGTTTGTTTGTTGCTTTTAGGGTGTATTAAAGTGGTTTGTTTGTTTGATTTTTTGTTAGTTTGTTTTTGTTCGTTTGTTTATTTGTTTGTCTGTTTGTTTGTTTATTTGTTTTGCTTCTTTTTAATGGGGGGGGGGGCGTGTTTGATTGTTGTTTTATTTACCAGTTTGGCACCAAATTAGGTGCAAAAAGGTTATTTCAAAGTCAAGGCTTCTCCTTCTACCATTCTTTTCAATTTTATTAATATGACATCAAGATAATAAGAAAACAAAAAATTTGCCCCAGAAAAAGTATGCAATTTTCTCTACTTTTTAAACATTTCCAAGCAAGGAACTTGAGTCTCTAATGTATAGCTGGGTAAGTCATTCCATATTTCAGTCTACTGCTGCCCCTTCATACCAACCCATAATGTGGGATTTCAAACTTATTCTACGCCTATTTTTTTCCTTTTCTACCTCCACACCACCTAACCTCTCCTCACTTCTTTCTACTTTCGTCCCTCCGTCTGTCCCACCCTCCCTCCCTCCCAAAACCCAAACCTCCCCACCCCACGCACCCGTCTGGCCCACCCACATCCCTCCACACACGCACGCTTCCCCACCCACACCCTCTGCCACCCACACTCCCTCGCCGCCACACCCTCCCCCCTCCCCACCCCCACCGCCAAGCCAACCGCTACCCCTACCCCCATCCCCACTTACCCACCTACCCACCTCTACACCATCCCCACCCACCCTCCCCCACTCCTGCCCTACATCTCTGACCCAGGTCATGTGTTACTACCTAAAATGCCACCCCACCTGGCACCCCGAGTTCCGCCGCTGGAGTCAGGCCCAACCCTTCGATTGGAGGAGCGACGCCTATGCCATTCACTTCACCTACCCAGACCCTCCAGCTTTTCACAACGAGACAGCCCTGAAGACGTCCGAAGGTGATTTCGCTGAGATGGGCCGGTATATCTTTAACCTCAGACACAAGAAGGCAAAAGAAATGTGAAATGTTCAAATGTGAGGCAGCGTGGTGGAATCAGGCTCTAGTCACATTTTGGGCTTGTAGAGTTATTAGTATCATCTTAAAGCTTGTTCACGTGTCTTTATTTGGATGAAAAAGGTATCCATTTATCTTGAATGCAGGTCGGGATATTTGCGAATGAAGGATCTGGGGGTCACCTGTTTTCAGAGGTGAAATTATTGAGAAAATAGTTATATGCTTAGCTTAAGAGTCCGTGGTAACTGAAAATTTACATTTTTTGTGCCTTTAATCTACGTTTTTATGAACAATCCACACAGAAATGAGTTCTTTAATGGGAATGAAAGGTGTTGAGCCAAAAAACAAAAATTTGATAAAAATTCACAAACCAGCAGAAAAATGCAAGTTTCTTCACTTTGATTATTTTGCCGAGGGACTGATTCCACCACGCTGCCTCACAAATTATTATTAAATAAGACTTTACTTTACTTACTTGTAAAAGTAAAAGTAAAGTATTAAATAAGAATAGATACTGAATTCGCACCCTTAAAATGACAGGGATTTGATTATTGCAGTTTTAGAAAACACTTGTTGGATTCAAAGATTCACACGCTGAAAGATAAAACGTTGTTGCACCATATTTTTAAAGCGTTAAACTACTTTTTAAAATGTGTTTAATACACGTCAAATTGTCTAAAACCTTTGACACAGTGTGAAGGGCATCTTTGTCTGAATAACTCAGCTCTCGCAAAAAGTGGAGTTGAACCTTGCCATTGTAAGGGCGCGAATTGTTAATGCCTCTTTTGAAATGTTATTGAAAGGACAAAAATTAATGTTTTTTTTACCACTTTTGTTGACACTGACATCGAAATTTGAATAACAATATCATGTACAACCGAACCTGTTCTAACGGCCATCTGCCCACGGACAATCGACCACTTACTGCTTCCTCCTTGAGTGTTTGTCTATACCATACTGGCACTGTCCAAGACGCCCTTTTGTCTTAGACAACCACTTAACTACTCAGCAATGAATGGCTGTGGGCGAATTATAGGCAATTTCCAGATTGAGAACCATTGATAAGGGGTGCATGGAAGGGGAACCAACAAGTTGGAAAAAAATATATTAATCCGCAGACAGGAAAAAGAGGCTAAACAGCACCTGGACGTGGATGTCTGGTGTCTCTATAAATAAATCATTGATGGTCACGGCCAAGGTCAAGGGTGGCTGTGGCTAAAAAAGCACCTGGACATGGATGGCTGGTGTCTCTATAAATAAATTATTGATGGTCAATGAGAGGCTGTCTGGGACAATTTGGACTGTAAGATGAACGAATGAACCTCACTCGGAATCGAACCCATGCCGATTGTGTTTTGGTCAGGTTTGTGAGCTGTAGCGTCTCCATGGTCTACATGCACTTAGGCGAATGGGTAAGAAAGAAAGAGAAAGAGAGAGAGAGAGAGAGAGAGAGAGAGAGAGAGAGGGGGGGGGGGAGTGAGAGAAAGGAGGGAGATAGGCGGAGTGGAGAGAGACAGAAGGAGAGAGATGACAGAGAGAGAGAGGGGGATGGAGAGAGAGAGGGAGAGAGAGAGAGAGAGAGGGGGGGGGAGGAAGAGAGATGCGTTTCTTTTTACTGAAATCAAAAACAGGTTTATGATCTACAGGAGGCCAATAATATAACTCATTTACCGATTACGTAGCTTTTGTTTTTCAAAGCATTGCCCACAGATTGGAAACTCTCCTGAAATACTATACTATAATGTGATTTGAATTATTGGTTTGTTTTGGATGAATAATAATATTTCGTGTTCTTTTTTTTTAAACTGGTTTGCTTCTTTTCTTTTAAATTTTGTGCGTATTAAAAAAACATTTTAATAGCAAACTTTGTTGTT